GTGGGGACACTGGGGATGATGGGGATGATGGAGGTAGAGCTGATGGGGGCACTGGAGATGATGGAGGTGGTCATGATGGAACTGGTGGGGACAGTGGAGATGATGGGGATGATGGAAATAGAGGTAATGGGGACACTGGAGATTATGGAGGTGGGGCAGTGGGAATGAGGACGATGGGAGCACTGGAGATGGTGGAGGTCGGGCAGTGGGAATGAGGAGGACACTGGAGAGGGTGGAGGTCGGGCAGTGGGAATGAGGAGGATGGGAACACTGGAGATGATGGAGATGGAGGTGGTGGGGATGGCGATGATGGGGATGGTGGAGGTGGGGAAGATGAGATGGAGGTAATGAGGACACTGGAGATGATGGAGATGGAGATGGTGGGGACACTGGGGATGGTGGAGGTGGAGGGGACAATGGATGATGGGGACACTGGAGATGATGGAGGTGGAGGTGGTAGGGATGGGGATGATGGGGATGATGGAGGTGGGGACAATGGAGATGATGGAGGTGGTCATGATGGAGATGGAGATGGGGATGGCAATGATGGGGATGATGGAGATGGTGGAGGTGGTGGGGACAATGGGGATGATGGAGATGGGGTCGATGGGAATGAGGACGATGGGAACACTGGAGTTGATGCAGATGGAGATGGTGGGGACACTGGGGATGATGGGGATGATGGAGGTAGAGCTGATGGGGGCACTGGAGATGATGGAGGTGGTCATGATGGAACTGGTGGGGACAGTGGAGATGATGGGGATGATGGAAATAGAGGTAATGGGGACACTGGAGATTATGGAGGTGGGGCAGTGGGAATGAGGACGATGGGAGCACTGGAGATGGTGGAGGTCGGGCAGTGGGAATGAGGAGGATGGGAACACTGGAGATGATGGAGATGGAGGTGGTGGGGATGGCGATGATGGGGATGGTGGAGGTGGGGAAGATGAGATGGAGGTAATGAGGACACTGGAGATGATGGAGATGGGGGCGATGGGAATGAGGATGATGGGGATGGGGGAGATGAAGGAAATGGAGATGGTGGGGACACTGGGGATGGTGGAGGTGGGGAAGATGAGATGGAGGTAATGAGGACACTGGAGATGATGGAGGTGGAGGTGGTGGGGATGGTGATGATGGGGATGATGGAGGTAGAGATGGGGACACTGGAGGTGATGGAGGTGGTCGTGATGGAGATGGAGTTGGTGGGGATGGGGATGATGGAGATGGTGGAGGTGGTGGGGACAATGGGGGTGGAGGTGGGGATGGTGAGGACAGTGGAGATGATGGGGATGATGGGGATGATGGAGGTACAGGTAATGGGGTCACTGGAGATGATGGAGTTGGGTGTGATGGGAATGAGGACAATGGGAGCACTGGAGACGATGGAGATGGAGATGGTGGGGACACTGGGGATGGTGGAGGTGGAGGTGGTGGGAATGGCGATGATGGGGATGATGGAGATGGAGGTAATGGGGACAACGGGGATGATGGAGATGGGGGCAATGGGAATGAGGACAATGAGAGCACTGGAAATGATGGAGGTGGAGATGGTGGGGACACTGGGGATGATGGGGATGATGGGGATGATGGAGGTAGAGATAATGGGGGCACTGGAGATGATGGAGGTGGTGGGGATGGCGATGATGGGGATGATGGAGATGGTAGGGACACTGGAGATTATGGGGATGATGGAGGTAGAGATAACGGGGACACTGGAGATTATGGAGATGGGGATGATGGAGATGGTGGGGGTGATGAAGATGGTGGGGACAGTGGAAATGGTGGAGGTGGTGGAGGTGGAGGTGGTGGGGATGGCGATGATGGGGATGATGGAGGTGGGGACGATGGAGATGGAGGTAATGGGGACACTGGAGATGATGGAGATGGAGCTGGGGAACCACAGCGCTGCTGGTGGAGACGATGAGGGTGGGCGACGCCACCGACGGAGCTGGTGACACCGGCACCGCCGGGCCCCGCTGGTGGCCCCTCGGGGTGGCCCTGACGCCGCCTGTCCCCGCAGATCGAGGAGATCGAGCGGGAGATCATCAAGCAGGAGGAGAACGTGGACCCCGACTACTGGGAGAAGCTGCTGCGGCACCACTACG